TATGACTATTTAAAAATGCAAGGCGTACCAGCTGAACCGTTTCGACCAATCATCGGTCAACTATTTCAAATTCGTTCATTTTTGAAACATAGCCATATCATGGAATATTTCGAGAATTTGCAAACAAAACACGGCTCTGTATTTCTTTTACCAATGAAATCAGAAATGCGTCTTGTCATTCATGAACCAGACTACATTACAGACATATTAAAGATTCAAAAGAAAAATTACGTTAAGGCTGACTTTTATAAACTCACTCTTAGTCCTGTGATTGGTTTGCATAACTTATTGGTGAGCGAAAGTGAGGAACATGAGCGTTCGCGTCGAATGTTAAATCCGGCCTTTCGTAACATTAATTTACGATCGATGATTCCCATCATGGCAGAGCAAACACAAAAGGTATTTGAAGACTGGTTCAATAAAAACGAACTTGATGCGCAAGAAGAATTAAGTAGATTAACTTTAATGATAATTGCTTCTGCAGCATTTGGTCAAAATCGCGAAACGATTGAAAACAGTAGACCAATCATACATGAAATATTTACAGACGTTCTGAATGCCATACAACATCGTTTATTTAATCCTCTTTCGTCGATTCCTTTTCTGTCAATGCTTCCCATCATGAAAAAGCCTATCATTGACCAAGGTGCAGATAAAATTCGTCAATTTGTTGATCAAATCATTCTAGCACGTAGACAACGTTCTAGTCAAAGTCAATGTCAAGGCAGCGACATTCTCGATTTACTTCTCTCAGCCAAAGATGATAATGGTCAGGGTTTTTCAAATTGTCAAATTCGTGAAGAAACATTAGCTTTCATTCTAGCTGGACATGAGACAACAAGTACTTTAATTACATGGTGCTTGTATGTTGTTATGACCAATTCCGAGGTTTATCGTGCTTGTCTACAGGAAGTCGATCATGTGTTACAGGATGGTACTGAACTTGATCATCACAAACTAGATCAATTACAAGTGATCGAAGCTGTGATTTACGAGACACTTCGTTTATATCCACCAGTACCGTTCTTTATTCGGCAATGCATTCAAGAACATATCATTGGTGGCGGTGATTCAGAACAACAACCAATATCTGTACCTCGAGGAGTTATTGTTCATATAAATACGTACATTCTTCATCGATTAGAAAAATATTGGGGTATGAATGCTGACCAATTTGATTATAATCGATGGTTAAAGAATCCAGAAACGGGTGTCAAGCCGAAACTAAAACATCCATTCTGTTATTTACCATTCTCAGCAGGAAATCGCAATTGCATCGGACAGCACTTTGCGCTTATCGAAGCTAAGGTGATTTTATCTCTTTTCTTCAAATATTTTACATTTAAAATGGTCGAAGGTCAGATTGTTGTCCCTGACTTCTCATTAACGATGAAACTTGCTTATGGACTTCGAATGAAAATTAAAAGACGATCATTATCAAAGTAGAAACTTTATCTCACAGCGTCTTATCAAAGGAAACATAATGGATGTAACTAAGTTAAGACAAACATATCACAAAAACTCGAATACATATTCTAGACACTGATTAATTCCTTTCTGTTGAGTTGTTTCGTCTATTCTTCGTGTCGCTTGCACAAACCATATTCATAAATTGACAAGATATGACGAAGATTGTAAATACGAGATACTATTTGTTGGCCTGATCGACTATCTACGATTAAAATAACTCGATTTTCTTCCGATACCGACTTTATGCCATTCTCACATTTTTTTTTTGTCTGGAAATGTCTTGCAACAATTGCCCGGAGGTGGATGTCAGAGTAGAAGTAGATGAAGTTTGGGATGAGATTACACTCATACCCTTGTTAACAGTGTTATGCGTTTATAAGCACTAGCAGACCCTGCCCATATCCTGTTAGATTATTTAAAGAAGTTTCTTTTGTAACAATCTACACCTCTATGTAGAAGACAGTCATTGTTTCAGTGGATTGATGTTACGGCTATTGTATCATAAATAAGGATAGAAATAAGAGATACACAAAACTCAAAGATCAATTGATAAACTGTTTTTTTTTGAAAGAGAATATTAGGGAATAGCCATCCAAAACCATCGAATACAACAGCACAGACATAAGGCACAGCATAGATGACAACACTTGCAATTTGTGTAACAAATATTGCCAAAGGTATCCGTTGAAGTTTCAGTTTATATCGTTGTTTTGTGGTTCAAGATTATAAGAATTGTCAGTAGAAACCAGATTATGAAATTTATTGTTCTATGTGTTTGGTTAGTTCTTTACCTTTTTTCTTGTTAGACGAGTTACAACGAGCAATTTGTCTATATTGTACTTCAACAGAAATTTTACATTGAAAAAGTTTTCAACATTCAAGTCTTCGAAGAAATAAGGGTAAACAATCTCATTGACGACTGTGTCGATGTGAGTGAGGGTATGGGATGCCGGGTGTCTGGATATGAGCGTGGATTTAAGTGTCTACCATCGCTAAACCACGTTACATTTATAGGCACCCAAAACGACACAAATCGCCCATCTTGTGTAGCGATTATTGGCATTGGATTACAACCGTCAACTATACAGATATGGCGCTTTTTGTTTACATGCAAAGTTTAGAAAACCTAGCTATTAATTATTTATTAAATTAATCAATTTTCATTTGATATACGATAATGAAATCATTCGTTAGTAAGATAGCATTTTATAATACATCGAGACTCAAGAATTTTCAATTTGTATAAAAATGTAAATTAATTGATACATATATTCACGAACTCTGAGGTTACTTGTGACAGTAATTCTTTTAATTTTATTTATTGTATATAGAGTTTTTAAAGAAAAAAAATCAAAAATATGATCTGAAAAAAAAACCAATTGGAAAATAAAAATTCTATAATATATAATCAACTTGTTGACTTATTCAATTTTTAAATACTGAAAGTAATGAAGACGGGCGCCTGTCAATTATATTACTGTATGAATCTGTTTTCTGTCTAATTTATCCTGTAAACGACATTATGGTTCTTTAACTATTCAAGTAGCTTCTCGACGCTTTGATGAAGCTTTTCTTTCTCTGACCTTATTTTTACACTATTGGTTTTTTATCATATCCAATTTTTATCATTAAGAACAATTAATTAACAAATTCTTTGTTGTGTTTTATCTGTGCCTAATCAAGATAATAATTTAAATTTAGTTTTACAAATCATAAAACACAATGATATAAAATACTGTTTCAATTTTTTTCTCACTCACAACCTGCTCAAAATGAATTAATTGAAATTCCTATATAAAAAAATCTTTATAACAGACTAATAATTTTGTAACTATTTGCTCACAATGTATGCATACTTAATTAACAAAATCGTAGTATTTGTTTTCAACACTAGTATGACATCAGAATACAATTGAATTTGTATTGATCGTATAAATTACGTTAATTAATTTTACATTTCAGCTATAACCTTAGAAACTGAAGTATAAGCCTAAAATCATTCAATGCACATTAATGCATTTATCATACTCTTTCAGAAAAGTGAACTCATAAATATATTATAAATTATCCTTGTGATAACTGACACGGTCTTTGTTTATTATGTATACTTAACCGTTGGTATCTATTCCAGCATAACATTTGATACACTAATCTCATTTATAAAAAACATAAAAAATTACTACATCTATTTGGATATCACACTTACTAATTTAAATAGGTAAGTTATATAAGTTACAGTTTTAGTAAACTAATGATCTGTATAATGAAATAATAATACTATATTTATTAAAATTAAGAATTTACTAAGATTTTAAATTTAACATAGTTCGAATATATCCAATAAACTAGATCAGATTTCATGTAAAGACAAAGGTTTATTCTACTAAGTCATAACTATTGTATAGTCTCAGAAAAATCAACATATTTAAAATCTAGATTCGATTGTAAATAAATCCAGGAACATTTTTGATGAAAACTAAACCGACGATTGTACCAAATAGAAAAGAAAGCAAACTTTTTCTAACTGTGATCATGAAGTTCTGTCTAACTTAAGAATACACTTTACTTCTAAGGAGATTAAAATTATTTTATGCTTTAACTTGAAAAAGCATAGTTGTGCTTGTGAACAACATTTTACAACAACAATAAATCTTGTAATCTGCTTGAGAGAATTATTTGCACAGACAACGAATATCTCGAAGAAAGTGATTAGTCGAATGCATACAACATTCAAACTATTTACCGCACTACTTAATGAATGTTAGTTTCAGAATGAAAGCCTTGTGATAAAAGATAAATCTAAATTAGGGATGACATGTGTGCGACAGAACGACTAAATCGCGCTTATTTTATTGAAAGATTGAATTAAAGCATGCAAAATCGTACAAACATAGAAGCAATACCGAATAAAAAAGAAGAGAAAAAGATAATTAACATATGCATACATATGTATGTATGTGGTAGATGCTTCTAAGCATGGCTATCGAGAATCTTGACGGATGAAACTGTCAAAATGCACTCTGTTTTTCATAACAACTAGTTAATCACATCGAAGGCCCTTGATATATTCTCTTATATGTCTCTTCTTCATGCGTATATAAACACCTACACATTGATGTTAAATAGAAAACGCATCACGAGTAAAGAAAAAGGCTTAATTATCATTTTTACAAAATATACTGTTTAGTCATCGTTAAGGATCATGATAGCTCCTTTGATCGTAGTAGAAAAAAGAACTAGTCCTTGGCAGCCTTTATCTTTAGTAATAGCTGTGGGACTTAGTAGTAGTCTAGTCATAATTGGCATGGCATTGGGTTTAGGATTGGGTATTGGATTAGATAATAGCAATCAAAATTTAATGATCGTTACGCAGACAGGCTCAACGATCGTGACTAATTCAAACATTTCAAATATCATTAGTAATAACTCGACAACATCTACAACGGCATCCATGACATCCACAACATCCACAACAATCACAGCATCCACAGTATCCACAACATCCACAACATCCACAACAACAGGTTAGTTGTCTGATCACTATGATTTTCTGTGCGTGAGATTCTATATCAAGTTCTATTTAAATGAGATTTATTCAAGGAAAGTTCATGATTTATCATATCAATTTATGTGTATAGAATTGCAAGAAAGAATAACAAAATACAAAAGTTTCGCGTCTTCTTGTTTCATAGCTTTCAGCGCCAGTATCGGTCATTGAATGCTGATCTTTTATATTTTTGCTATTTTATCAGAATATTTCAAAATAGTACAAAGAAGTATCAATAAGGTACAGTTAGTCATGAATTACACGAACATTTTACTGTCTTCTGGCTTATGTCACTTACTTTACCTCACTAATACGTATTCAGTTAGTTTTAATTTGTCACTTAGGAAAATTTTGATAGTGACAATACTTTGCAATTGAATATATTCGTTGTATTTTGCTTGAATTGATTTTTTTTAAATTAGAGAGAAGCATAGTAGCTGTGATCAGGCAGTTTACTTTTGGTCATAAGATGACAGGATCTTCTCTATTGTGTCACGTACTTCGCTAAACTCCATATGAATAGCGATCAAAATAACCCCACATATTGTGATCATTGTCTAACTTGCTAGACATGAATCCCATTATATTGATCTCGGATCAAGAGTGCTAGACAAAACTACTTAGCCATCTGAACTGATATTAAATGAATCAATAGATATATACTGGAGCTATCGATGCGGCAATATCATCGTTGGATTAAAGTCGTATCTTGATCATTTTTCAACATTCATTTTTACATAATATGTCGTTTAAAAGCCGAATGGTAGAGCCAGCTCAAGTAGAAGGTTGATAGGAAATTCACCCAAAATGGCGAAGCTTTGCTCTTCGCATTGAAAGTTTCCGTTAAGAAGTAAGCACAGGTCAACAGTTTGATGTCAATGACTTGAGCTAGCTTCGATCAATTCTGTTGAAAATTTCATCAATACAGTCTCGTGAGATATCAGATGAGTGCTAGTAGTTTTAGAATCATGGCTAATTGAGAATCAAAAGAGAACCGACAGAAACGTTCACTAAAATACAGCTTGGTTATTGATGAACTCTAGAATTAATGTAATACTGTTCGAAGCCATGCTTGAAATTATTGTTCTCTGAGAATTACATGCATTCAAAATATTAGCTCAAAATACTACCAAATAATATCAGTCCAGGATATTATCTAGATTTGTTTAATACTCGAGGTACGAGATCAATCTAATAGAACTCACATCGAGTACGTTAGACTATGATCATCAAAGAACGAGCAATCATTATTAGTGCTTTCAAGATTTTCTTCGAGTTGAAAGTGAAGTTTTTCAAAAATCAAAAGTTATCTCTTGTTTTTCTGTCGTTTAAAAACAACAACTTTTTTGTTATTGCTATATATCAAAATAACTTATTTTTTTCATTGTTATAAATAGCATAAAACTAAAATAAATTATCACCCTGTAAT